CATTAGTAAGCTCTGAACTATACATGTATAAAGTTAAAGCAGCCACCTAAACTGCTCCTTGAGACTTAGTTCATTATCATTACCCAGTTAAGGTCCCATTAAACAGAGTTCTACTGTAGATGGGATTTGATTTATTATATAACATAGCTTTTGCAGCCAAAAGATAAAAATAAAAGAAAACAAATCAAAGCTCTCATGCAATGGATGCTAGTACTATGGATTCAATACTCCACTGGTTGGAGTAAAACCACCTAGGGTAATGCAATAAGCAATTATATACAAATGATAAGTAAATGTTGAAAGCAAAACTTTTAAAGGTTTTACCTGCCAACGTGAAACAAGCAACTTCCTGCTCAGAAAAGTCAGATCTTCACTGGCCTTACCAAGATTACCTTCACTATTTTCAAAATCAATAGGGTTTACTTTGTGAGGCATCGTTGAGGACCCAATCTCACCGGCCTTAGTTATCTGCTCCAAGTTATGAAGATGAAAAAAAATTATTTTTCTTGTATAGGAGAAATTACTTTAGTTCTTCCATCATTATACTACAACACTAACCTGCTTAAAGTATCCTAAAGATATGTATCCCCATATATCTCTATCAAAATCAATCAAGATATCGTTAAACCGGACAATCGAATTAAAAAGTTCGGCCATATAGTCATGGGGCTCGATCTGCAAAGCAAGTTCAAAGTAAATATATCAATACAAATTTTACCAAAAAAAAATATATCAATGCAAGAGTGAACCAAGACTTTGATAAGATAACATAATAAAAAGTCATTCAATTGATAATTTGATACCCACTCAAAAGTCAAAAGGCCCTCAATCAATTTTTTGGTTCTTGAAAGAAAGAAATGATTTACCCACAGTTCCAATATCTATGTGGCCAGCCTTTAGATTTATTCAAACAATTCCTCAGCTTGAATAAACTTATGTCAGATGAAGTGCATGAGCAAATTACAATGGACTCCCTTAGAGGAATCAGAGCAAAACTGTGATTCTATCACCTAATTATTAATAATTTTATATGTGCACCAAGCAGAACAGTGCAAGAAACATACCTGAGTAACATAAGGATTAAACTCCAAGCCAAGAGATCTTACAAAATCTTCTGCAATTTGTGGCCAGTTAATTTCAGGATATGCAACAAGATGTGCATTATAGTTTCCAACAGCACCAGCAAATTTCCCCATCATCTCCACTTCAGAAACTTTTTTCCTTTGTCTGCATAGCCTGAAAGCAAATATTGCCATTTCCTTCCCGAGTGTTGTTGGTGAAGCTGTCTGCAAACAACAAATGAATAAAGATCAATTACTGACTGTTATTGCTAAGACTAAGCACAATCCGAAATAAAAAGGCAATTATGAATACAAAGGGTGAAACAAAAGTTGATAAAACCAACCAAAACGTGGAGTCTGTAAGACAATCTCGCATATCCACCAATTTTCATTCAGAAGATGAGTAAGAGCTGAAAATATTTTGGGAATAATCAACTCCATTTTTCCCTTATATGATTCAGATCAACATGAAAGTCCTACACTTTTTATATATTTTTGTATTCTTCTGTGGTGAAAAAAGAGTGCCAAAAATACAACCAATGCCATTTTCTAAGAGAATGCTAGTACAATAACCTAATTGATCACAAACAATGGTAACTCTTTTACCTGGCCATGAGTGCGTGAAAGCATGGGAATGTGAGCATTATCCTTTGCCATGTTACATATTGCTTTAATTAATTTGTCCATAGATGGAAAAATGACCGCACTCATTGCTTGTTTCAGCATCAATGCATGGGCAAGGTTGTTTATGTCCTCAGATGTGCAAGCAAAATGAAAAAACTCTAGCACCTGCAATGAGAGGATGTTTGTAAGGTGACCAAAAAAGGACCAAACAACTAAATATACAAAGAATTATAAGGAACTAAAAAGAAACACATACTATTGATATCTAAAGTTCCCAACCTTGGCAATTTCTGGGTGTGATTGGCATTTCTGTTTCAAGAAGTATTCCACTGCCTTCACATCATGGTTAGTCACTTTCTCAATGTTTTTAACTTCCAAAGCATCATTCATGCTAAATCCGTCAATCAATCCTTGCAAATGGGACTTGGCTTCTTCACTAAAGCTTGGAACCTCTGTGACTTCTGGAATTTGTGAAAGTTTCAGCAACCATTTAATCTGGCAGGCAGTTTTTAGATTAAAGACAGGCCCTTTAAAGAAGCATACAGGAAATGCACGAGTTGCAAAAACTCAAAGCCTGAGATGAACAAAATCGCATGAAAATGTGATAGTCTTTATCAAGAAAGTACCTCAACAAGAACCCGGTAGAAGATTAAACCATATTCGCTCATGTAGGGAGCCAAATTCTTCACTTTACCCCAATAACGACCATCTAAAGGTGACAATGCTGTTAAAGTTGATAGCTCGAATTCACCAGAATTATCTGCAGACATATTCATCACCTGCACCATTAAATTCCATTAATACACACATCAAGAACCCAAAATTTTTTTCAGAAAATTTAGCATTTGAACCCAGGGAAAAAAAATAAAATAAAAACCCACTTGTTATACTTAATAATATTTTGAAATTTAGGCTAATTTTGCCATTTAAACTGGATTTTGACATAGACCCAGATGAAAAGGACCAACATTTTCTTACCAAAAAAAAAAGGTGGGGACTTTTTAAGACCTGCCACGAACTGTGATGCTTAGATAATGATGAAATTAAAACGAAATTCAACATTAGGGAAAGGGATGAATCACCTTTCTAGAAGGACAGTCTCCGTGCGGAGAAGCTATGGAAAACTGAATTAAGGCGTTTGAGAATTGATGCTGCTGACGATTATTATCCCAGCAAGGTAGCTTTGCTGGAACCCGGAATCTTCTCGTCGATGCAGAGCTAAAGCATGGAATTTGAGGGTTGGTTCGAAGTGTAGAGGAGGCTGCGAACTCCATGGATCAAAATGAGTAAAGCTTGAAAAGAGTTCAGCAGCGGTCCGTACACTGAAGGAAAGTGTCGTTCGCGCTCTTCTTTTCCGTTTTTGGGGTTAGTTTAAACGGCAGGAACCCTAGGTTTTTCCAAGACTAAACGGGCAGGCTTGCTTAATTGGATTAATAACAATAATGGAAGTTAATTTTATAATTTAAACTATATTAAATTATAAAATAATAAATTTTAATAATAATATGAACTATAATTATAATATATAAAAATTATAATATAGTTATGGACATATTGTAAAATTATATTGTCAATAAATATTATCCAACTCATACATGGAATTTTCAAAAAAATATCTACGAAGATATGGGAATCTGAAACTATGGTCATGGAGAACGGTGATGCTAACAGAAGTTACATATGCATTGGGACAGAGGGTTATATATAGAAGACTCCAGGCCCCAGCTGAAGGTGGGGCGTCTAAGCAATGAAATCTCTTCATGGGACCTTAGCCACACATTAATGAGAGATGGGCATTCAAGCCCAATTCACGCCACTTGAGATCAGCCTATCTGCTCATGGCAGCAGCCACATGTCATCACCTAGTCAATTGCTTATCTACTCTTCTCCACTCCATTCCAAGACTGAAGCCATACTCCCCAAGCAAGAGAACTCTTTGAAGGTAACAGGACAGTTGCATAACTCTATCATCTTCAGGAGGATCGACCTCTGCTTGATTCTTTGCCTGAATGGAGGCCGGAGTAGCTTGCTATGCTCATGGGGCAGTTTTGCCTACAGTTTTTGCTAAGTACTCTACTGCATTAGTCCCTCCACCATCTGTTTCTCCATCCTTCAGCTCCAGGGTATGTGTTCACCATGCGAGATATGCATGCATGTCTTCATGTTGTGTATGCTAATATTCATGGTATGTCTAACAGGGCCTTAAATCAAGCTCACTCTTTGGAGAATCATTGAGGGTTATGCCAAAATCGTCACTCAGAGTTTCAAAGTGTAGGAGCTCTACTGTTGTGACCAGATGTGCCATAGGTGACAGCCTTGTAAGTTAAATAGGAGAATATATAGTACTTCGATTTCACGAGTTAGTTGCTGGTTGGATTTATAGTTCTTAAATGACTGGATTTGTGGCATTAGGAAGAGTTCCTTACCAAGTCAACCTCAGACAAGGGATTGATCAGGTTGATGATGTGTATGGGAGAAGCATTAAGGACCATTTCTTTCAAGGTCAGGACAGCTTCTTGTGGAGGTACAGCCTGTGTCAATTCATTTGGAGATGAGCAACTTGCTGTTGATTTGCTTGCTAACAAGCTTCTCTTTGAGGTTAGACTCAAAAAACCATTTTCCTTTTTTAATCTGTTGCTATTCTTTAAGTCTTTTGGATGCAACTTTGATGAAGAACTGAGAATGATCCCTAATTTGACAGTCTAGATACCTATTCGGCATGGCAGTTCCTTAATTGAAGTGAAAAGTGGGCAAAGCATAGTTTAATTACATAGCTTTACCTATATCCTATTCTAATAAACAAACAAAATATTTCATGTCATGAAGTCACCTCTGAATTCCTTTGAGATCTGCATTGAATAATGTCTTCTATTTGTAATGCGTAGGCCTTGACCTACTCCCACTACTGCAAATATGCTTGCTCTGAAGAAGTTCCTGAGCTGCAAGACATGGGAGGTCCAGCTAAAGGTCTGCATGCCTTTCAAGTGATATTATTGATCGAGATCTTAAACGATATAATTTGAATGGCTACTCATGAGTTATTACACTTGTGAACAGGTGGATTCAGTGTTGCTTTTGACCCACTTGATGGCTCCAGTATTGTGGATACAAATTTCACTGTAGGCACTATCTTTGGTGTGTGGCCAGGAGATAAGTTGACTGGGGTAACAGGAAGAGATCAAGTTGCTGCAGCAATGGGAATCTATGGTCCTCGCACCACATACGTTATTGCACTTAAGGATGTTCCTGGCACCCATGAATTCCTCCTCCTTGATGAAGGTACTTAAATCAGTTCACAATTGGGAAGGAGATTCTTTTCTGGTTCTGAATCAATCACACCATATTTTGCTTCTCCCTTTAAAACAATGTTTTGCTGGATGCATTGCAGGAAAATGGCAACATGTCAAAGACACAACAGAGATTGGCGAAGGGAAAATGTTCTCCCCAGGAAATTTGAGAGCCACATTTGACAACCCTGAATATGACAAGGTTCTATTCCTTTAACTTTACTTCCCCTTGTTCCCTTGGTGAAGATGACATCATTGCTTAATTCTCATTACTGTCAGAAAATCTCCAAGGATATCCATCTCTTATTAACTTCTAAATTTTGCAAACAAACAGTTGATCAACTACTATGTGAAAGAGAAATACACATTGAGATACACCGGAGGAATGGTGCCGGATGTCAACCAGGTCTTCTAAATTTTCCCCAATTTCAGTGTTCCTAAAGTTCCTATCATAGCAAATTCTGGGAAAGCATGGCCTCATATATTTATATTTTTTCTCTGCAGATCATTGTAAAGGAGAAAGGTATCTTCACAAATGTGATGTCCCCATCTGCCAAAGCCAAGCTAAGGCTATTATTTGAGGTTGCTCCACTCGGGTTCTTAATTGAGAAAGCTGGAGGTTACAGTAGCGATGGCTATCAATCAGTTCTTGACAAAGTGATCAATAATCTCGATGACAGAACTCAAGTTGCATATGGTTCCAAGAATGAAATCATCCGTTTTGAAGAAACTTTGTATGGATCCTCAAGGCTCAAAGCAGCAGGTGTTCCTGCTGGAGCTGCAGCCTAAGCAAAAACCTGTGTATCAAAACTTGAACCTATAAAAACCTGCGTATCAAAACTTGAACCTATCTCATACAGAACAATTATATATTAGTGCACGATGCTCCAACCATTTCTTGATCTGGAACCACAAAGTTGAGTTTCTGTCATCGTATTTTCTCCTAAAAAATTTGCTTCAAAGGCATAATTAGGATGAAGCAAATTGACCTTTGAGTTCCATTAAACAATTCTCTGTGGCAGATACTTATATTGTTTTTATCAAATTTACTGGTTGTGGCAATGATTTTACCAGGTTGACTAGTCATTTGAGATAGAACCATAGAATTCTCTATAAATCCTGCATTAACAGGATTCGGGTTGGTCTAGAGGCAGCATCCAGAAACGTATGAGCACGAAATTTACTGCAAGCCCTGTAAACAAATTATGGTTATGTGAATGTATGTCTGTATCCAGTTTTCTCAATCAGAAAAATGTGAAAAAGGTGAAATTTGCTAATTCCCTGTAAGGTTTCCAGGACAGCCGACCATGCCATTGATGATCCATTCCATGAAAACCATTTCTCAACCATAAAAATCTCCTCTTACCATCTCATCCCTCATACATTGACTATTACCCACCACCATTTCTGTCTTATACAGTGTTTATCTCTACTCTTCTGGAAGGACCGTTGCTGTTTTAAATGTACATGACCTTTTCCCAGAGTATTGTCAAAATCTCAAACTACAAACACCAGTATAATAAATTAATGGAAGACAACAGGAACCCTCACATCAAATGCAATCCAACATGATTTGAATGTTATGGTTTTGGTCCAGTTAATGGTGATCCAATCAAAATCTTCGGTTATTGATTCAAAAGCCAGCAATGTAAGACATGTCCGAGGAAGATTCTGTGTCATCTGTAGTGGGGAAGCAAGGCTTAGAAGAAGGGATGTTCCTAGAGATGGCAGATATGTGTAGATGGGAAGTATGTATCAACTCACACAAATGTATCAGTCAATTGAAAATGGCAATCGAAGGGATTCAATAGCTTACCTCCAAAAGCGTCGCACGACCATACCTTTGTGTAACATCCAAGAAATCACTTGAGGAAAATATATGGTAGTATCCTTCATTTACCTAACCAGCAAAAATGACATTGCATCCACGAGTTCCATCCCTCTTATATATCATGCACTAAAAATGTGATGGGTCATTACTACTTCTCCCTAGATATTAGTCATATTCAAGACAGACACACGGAAGTGGTGAGGGACATGGCATTCTGGGTTCAACTAACGCTGCTGGTTGCCGTTCTATTCCCAGCATATGTTGAGTCGATGGTTCATCATTACAACTTCACTGTAAGTATTCCCTTTGGTACTTCCATTGCAGCTTCTGATCATTAATGAAGAATGTTGTAATGATAAGGTCAAGTGATTCATTTATGCAGGTGGTGACGATCAACACAACAAAGCTATGTTCAAGTAAGCCTATTGTAACTATTAACGGGCGATTTCCAGGGCCAACTCTTTATGCAAGAGAGAGCGATAACGTGCTAGTGAGGGTAACCAACCATGTCCAATACAACATTACAATTCACTGGTAAGAAGTGACATTATCTGTAAAAGACGCTGAAAAACCTCAAACAGGTGACGAATAATACTGAGATTTTGTGATGGCAGGCATGGAGTGAGGCAGCTACGAACAGGGTGGGCAGATGGACCTGCCTATATCACACAGTGCCCAATTCAGCCTGGAGAAAACTACTTATACAATTTCACCCTGACTGGACAAAGAGGGACACTTCTTTGGCATGCACATATATCCTGGCAAAGGGCTACCGTCCATGGTGCCGTTGTTATTTTACCCAAAAAAGGTGTCCCTTACCCTTTCCCCAAACCTGACAAGGAAAAAATCATCATACTAGGTGAGGTTATAACCTATAGAATACTTAACTTGCTCTCCATTGTTGAAGTATTTGAAGAAAATGGTAAAGGTTACGTTTTTTGAACATTTAAGGGGACTGGTGGAAAGCAGATACTGAAGCTGTGATAAACCAGGCCTTGCAAACTGGTTTGCCCCCAAATCTATCAGATGCACACATCATCAATGGCAATCCCGGACCGGTTTCTAATTGTTCATCTGATCGTGGTATTACTATCATTAGTAATCATTTCAACTCTTAAATTTATTTCAAAACGAAGAAGATCCTCCATGAAATAGAGATTGACGAAATTTTGTGTTTCCATGCAACAGCTTATACTTTACATGTTAAAAGTGGGACTACATATTTGCTACGCATCATAAATGTAGCCCTCAACGACGAGCTCTTCTTCAAGATCGCCGGCCACAATCTGACGGTGGTGGAAGTCGATGCATCCTACACCAAACCCTTGTCAACTGACACTGTGTTCCTTGGTCCAGGCCAAACCACAAACGTCCTTCTAACCGCCGATAAGGGCGTTGGGAAGTACTTAATTGCCGTGTCTCCGTTCATGGACACCGTAGTCGCCGTTGACAACCTGACCGCAATAGGCTTTCTACGCTACAAGGACACCGTGCCCTTTTCTCCGCTCACACTGACCCCCATCCCTCCCATAAACGCAACCTCTGTTACATCCACATTCTCTCGTTCTCTCCGCAGCCTTAATTCGAAAAAATACCCGGCGACGGTCCCTTTAACGGTCGATCATTCACTGCTTTTCACCATTGGGGTCGGAATCGACCCCTGTTCCACCTGCACCAATGGTTCTAAGTCCGTCGGGGCCATCAACAATGTGAGCTTTATAATGCCGACCACAGCTCTGCTTCAAGCACATTACTATAACATAAGTGGGGTTTTCACGACTGATTTTCCGCCGACGCCACCGATACCCTTTAATTACACCGGAAACCCCCCGTCAAATCTGCAGACCAACAATGGTACTAAGCTATACAAATTGGCCTATAATTCAACCGTTGAACTCATAATTCAGGGGAACTCCATTATTGCACCAGAAAGCCATCCAACCCATCTTCATGGATTCAATTTCTTTGAAATTGCAAGAGGAGTTGGCAACTATGACCCACAAAAAGATCCCAAGAAATACAACTTAGTTGATCCTGTTGAGAGGAACACCATTAGTGTACCTACTGCCGGATGGTCAGCAATTAGATTCAGAGCAGATAATCCAGGTATGCTAAAAGTCTTTCTTTTTCAATCAACAAAGATTAGGTATTGCATAGGTTTAAACCTTGAAAAAATATTATGTGCGCTGAATTATACAATTTTAATAATTAGATAAAAGCAAATTTTTTAACATTGAAAACTCTTTTTCTCGATTAATAATTTTTATTTTATAGTTTGACTCAATTTAAATTGTAAAATATAAAATTAAAAAAATTTTAACTTTAATTTGAGTTAAAATTTTAAAATTATTGAGTACTATCTTTAATATTATGTGTCTTTTTCATACTAAGAGGCTGCACCTTTTTGTTTTTCATGCAAATTAATGCCAAGTTTCTTCGAAATGAAGTTGCTTCTTTTCTTTTCTTTTCTTTTTTTGTAACTACTATATTAAGTAAAATTTGACGTGTACGTAGCTTTGGAGGTTGGTGACATTCTTGATTTGGTGGGCGCAGGGATTTGGTTTTTTCATTGCCATTTGGAAGTACACACATCCTGGGGGCTTAAGATGGCATTTTTGGTGAATAATGGCAAAGGTCCTAATGAATCAATTCTACCACCTCCGAAAGATCTACCAAAGTGCTAAACAAAAATCAAAGTTTGATACTATTAGATGTTTTTAGAATGTGAAACTGTGATTCAGAACAAGGAGAGATGATTTGACAAAAAACCAATAAACAGCCAAAGAAGAGAAGACAGAGGATTGGTTGTTTGGTTTTGGGATGACAGAGGTAGCAACTGCTGAAAAGGATAAGAGTGATGAATAAATTATGATAAGTTGAATTGTATATGTCTTCTTTGTCAATTGTTATCTCTAGCTTTTTGGTTTGAATTGAAAATTTGATACTGGGAAAAGCTCTTCATTTCTACCACTTTTGTTTGTTTTGCAAGGTTTACTTTGATCCATTAAAATTTAAGTTATGTCTCAATTACAGATAGTGACACACTCAAGTTGTAAGGTATTGAAGAAAAGTAAAAAATGGATGATGGTTAAAAAGATTTTCTTTTTCTTTTTTAAGTTTCTCCCCCTTTTTTTTTTTTTCCTTCTTTTCAAGAGTATTATTTATCCTTTTAAAAAAAATAGAAGGAAAGAAAAGAAAAGAAACTGGCTAAATAAAGGTCCTCTCTGCTTTACTTGTATAAGAAAATTGATACTGTTTTCTTTTCCAAGGCTGTTTGTATTATTATTTATTTTTATTTTTTTTTGAGAAAGGCTGTTTGTATTATTAATAACAGCCATTATGCACACACATTGAGTCGCCCAACTGTTTAACATAAGAAGACAAAATTAAAAAAAAAAAAAAAATTCCCTAATAAAAAACCCACAATAATAAGTATAGGTAAAATTTTTCCCCAGTCACACCAATACTCACTAGGCACCTTCCACCTCTCCCTTTCTCTGTCCCCCTAACCTTATGATCCGCAGCTACCAGAGAAACTTGCTAGCTCCTTCTCATTCATTTCTCAATTCTCACAAGCTTCATTTCCACCTCCTATCTTTCAATTCTATACAATTTCCTAATATTTTTCTGTTTGGATTGATTATTATCCAGAATCTACTTCTTTTCTCAACCGGGTCCTTGTTTCTGTTTCCATTTCTCGTTTTCTTCATTTATCTTGCTCAAAGTTTGGTCCTTTTTCATTTTTTATGTTGAACAGTTGCGTTCACTTTTTGGAGCTGCAGTAGTATAAATTCTCGCCTATAAATCTGCTTTCTCTAGAGTTCCTCAACTTAAATCTGTTTCAGATACAAAAAAAAAAAAAAAAAAAATCCATCTGGGTTTTTGATTGTCATCTCTATAGGGGTTTATACCTAAGGAAACAAGATCAGATTTAGTTGTTCTTCTTCGAGATTCTCTTCGATTCTCTAAAGTTTTCTTTTTTAGATTCTTCGGATTATTCCCTGAGAAAAGGAGATTCTTGATTCCCATTGAACGATTCGGTTTTCAATGCCCTTTTAAGCTTCCTAATCTTCTCACACTTGAATTACTCCCTCCATTGATGGAAACTCTGTATCCAGCTTTGTGTATGGCGACTCCTGACTGGTTTTATCAGGAGGGCAAGAACACAAACTGGACCAAAGAGGAGAACAAACTGTTTGAGAGTGCTTTGGCGATATACGGGGAGGAAACGCCGGATAGGTGGCTAAAAGTGGCGGAGATGACCGGAAAGACTGTCCAGGATGTGCTTCAACAGTACAAGGAATTGGAAGATGATGTGTGTGAGATAGAAGCAGGGCGGTTTCCCACCCCGGGTTACTATGGCTCATCCTTTACATTAGAGCTTGTTAACAGCCGGGATTATGATGGGTTTAGAAAGAAACCGGCGGTGGCAATGGCTAGGAACTCTGATCAGGAGAGGAAGAAAGGAGTTCCATGGACAGAAGATGAGCACAGGTAAAACAGAATTGGTTTGTAGTTTTTGAATCATTCATGTCTATTCTTGTTCTTGACATGGGTTCCTGATCATGAATTATACAGGAGATTTCTGCTGGGGCTTCTGAAGTATGGCAAAGGGGACTGGAGAAACATTTCCAGGAATTTTGTGGTGTCCAAGACTCCTACTCAGGTTGCCAGCCATGCCCAGAAATACTATCAGAGGCAGCTTTCAGGAGGGAAGGACAAGAGGAGACCAAGCATCCATGACATCACAACAGTCAATCTCACAAACACTTGTTTTTCAGACAATCATAAAGGTCCATCATTGGATCAAGTTAATGCTCTTGTATTGCAGCAGAAGCTGGCCAGCATGACAAAAGTAGGCCATGATTGGAGCCACCTTAGTGATGGATCGGGCCTGGTTTTCAATTCAAGTCATGGGAACCGATTTGTGTCGTCTCCTTACGACATCAAACTTCAGGGGCAAAGTTTTCATGGCATTGCTTATCATGGAGCTCATATCAAACCCCATAATTCGGTGTTCTAATCCAATCAGTGGCGTATCAAATACACGAGAAAGCATCTCTCTTGGGAGTACTATTCAAATATTTCAAAGAAAGTTGAATAGTGCTGTAGGATTCCAAGTCAAGTACTCTTTTTTCATGTTTTCTGTAATGAAATTGTTGCTTGAATACCATTCTGTAATTGTACAGTTGAAATAATAGAGTAAAGTTTGGCCATATGCAGATATGCTCAAGTATTTATTGTCTATCAGGCCAGCTAACTGTTTTTCTTCGAGGTTTTGAATCATGCCATCTGCTTTTGTGAAATTTCCAAGATCTTGATCCCCATTAGGAGAATTCCCAAAATGGTTGATAGGGGAGGAAGGATTAACTACGATGGGATGCTTCGGAAGGGAAAGGGTGATCTAACAGTGCCTTTTGCTTTGACACATGGAACATTTTCTGCCATGTCATTGGCTGATGCGGCCTAATTGGCTGACTCAGTGGACACTGTTTTCCAAATTCACGAGCATCTGGTTGCTTGCTTAGTCTCATTACCCCTTCTGCCAACTCTTCCAGCTTTAAGCATCCAATAAGGCCAAGTTGACCTAGCTTAGTCGGCACCTAGTATGCATTCCACTTAACCGAGCATCAAATGCTTTAGAATATTTAAAAGATTCAATGTGGTTTTACATTTTCTTTTTCTTAATCAACTTTTTATAATCCAATCCAGTTCTTCCCTTTTCCTTGTTATTTCCCTTTCGGCCAACCCAATTGTCAATTGTGGCAAGACCTATTTCATCAGCATATTTCACTAGTGTTCGGAGGAATAATCCCTTTCTGTGGTTCCCAAGTTTACTTCAGAACCAAAAAAAGAATCTGAACTGTGCATAAACTTTTGCACACTGTAATTGATCTCAAAGGGAGAAGAAAATGAAAATCCAGCTTATGAAAGTTGGCAGAATGAGATACAAATACTAAGGTGAAAGAATGGTGAGTTAATTTTCTGATAAGAATATGATTAAAACACTAATATTCAGAGACTTCAATTCAGTGGGACCTAAACAAATGTCTTGATAAAGATAACTATCTCATAAGCAAGCAATTAGGCATTCCAAATTTGAGAAAATAGAAATTGAAGAAAAAGTATAATGTTTCTTAGTTTGGTTTTACTGTTTTCTTACTTTTAATTGCTATATTGTGGGTTCTACAACCCACCTTTGTATCATGAAAAGCTCTAGTGCCCACCACATGTCACTTTGCATCTATCATTTTCTAAACCACACATTTCTGAGTGTTTAAAAGTAACAAAGCAACAAACCATAAGAGCAACATGGCTTTATTTTTTCATTAACCTTTTGGGGTAAATGACAAAAACCATCTGCTTTACTAGTTTTTTTAAGAAAAGCAGACTGTCTGCAAGTTGCATAAGAAAGCACCTTGCCACTTTATTCTAGGTTCTGGTATATCAAAACCTTTGAGAAGGTTACACCAGAAGTTTTTTTGGTGCTATTTTTTTTTCCTCTTCTTTGTCTTTTGGAAACAATAAGCTAATTATTCAACTTTAAAATCCCTTTTCAATCACCTCATGCATGAGCCTCGATTTCATATACAAGATCATGTTCTAGGCTGCCCTACATTGATTAAAGATGATCTTATATGAAAAACACTCTGTCGTCAGATCTCACACAGGATGATAAAGTTGGATCCATATTACTAGTTAGTACAGTTCTTTATATGCTCATGATTTGCACCTTTTTTGTAGCTAAAAGTAAATCAAGTTTTCGTGCAAGAAAAAAAAAAGCAAAAAAAAAAAAAAAAAAAAAACAAAAATGCTGTTAAAGAAGAACTAAGCCCACTAGTTGGTTGGTATCAGAAGATGGAGCACAAGCACAGAGGAGTAATATGAAATTACAATTTCAACTCATGTTGCTCTATTAGATGGGGTTGACTTCCTTGCCTAACCCTCATTGGAGAATGGAGACGCCCTACCATTATGATATGAGGGTCCAAATGATGATTCTTTTCTGCTGAAGTTCTGGTCAGAATATCAATCAATGATTATAATAGTCGAATCTTGATTTTTCAGTCTTCTGGGTCATGCCACACTTTCTCCTACTTCAATTGCTGCACTTGGCAGGTAGCTTTTGATAGGGTATATTAATTGATGAATTCTGTTGTCAACCATCAATCAATGCCAGTATTTCATATGAATGATAGTTAAACCTGTAATGTATAGGATCTGTGCCAAATGTCCAGCACGGCAAGTAATTATGAGCCTATGAAGTACAAAGCTAAAACCAGGAACACAATTGGAACAGTAAACTATATTGTTGTATGATGCTGGTGCACATAATTCAGTCACAAACCCAAGCACTTAGATGAGTCGATTTTTCACTTGCTTCTTAACGGATTATTTATATTAAACCAGACAAGCATATCTTTCTAAGAGAACTAAGAACTATCATGTTTGAATTACTTTAAAAAAAAAAAAAATCACATCTGACAACAAGTGCAATACAGTTTCACAGTTTCCAGTGAGATACTGCTAATGCAATTTGCTTGTCACGATACATCTGTCAGTTGATTATTGTTTTTTGAGTTTAATATCATCGTTATGGAAAACTCTTCTAGAGAATGTCTGGCAAGGTTTATCCACAGCTTTACAAGAAACAAAAGCTAGGTCAGAAGATCATATCAGAAAGAGAAAGGCATAGCTGAACACGTCAGATCATTTCTCATATCAAGTTAGCCTGAAGACAGCATTAGCACCTGTCTTCCACACTAGGTTCCTGATGGCGCTGACCATACGGGAAGTTTTGCTGGTAGGGACATCCATGGAAGTTGGCCAAGCCAATGCACTACTGGCTAGCATCAATGCACTGCAAGTGAGACATCTTCTGCTTTTCTGATATCTAGTGTTTTGTGAACCCCTTAAGAGCAAAACTTTGATACTTAAGTATCATTTGCATTGGAGATTCTAAGAAATGGTTCCTCTGCCTTGTTTATCTGTCCTCATCCTCTAATTCTTTGAAATCTTCTAGGGGTAATTAGTCTTCTAG